AAAAAAAAAACCTTATACAGGTTGCAAAAGAGTTTCATGAAATAAAAGCATGGGAACAGCAACAGTCTTGGACACATAGGCAAATGGTATATTTTACTTTCCTCAGTCTTCTATTGCCAACATGCATCCCTGTAAGAATCAAGTTCATTCCTTTGTCTCCAATGGAGCTTACCATTCCTATCATCTTCTATTCCAATTCAGGTCTCTTATTTCATCTCTCTCAAAATAGTTGACTAAACTGTTTTTTTTCCCCCTTCTACTACATGAAACTCAAGCCTAGAAGGATATTTACTTACTTGTGTGCTACACCTTGATTTACTTTTTAAAATTAACTCATTATTTAACATATTATATCAGACAAGTGGGAAGGTCTTAACCTTGCTGGCAGGTCACTTGCTACCTAAAAAAGGGCTCTTGATTTCCAGCTTTATCTTCCTGGCACCAGAGAGACAGACAAAAGTAGGAAAGTGGACACTGTTCCGGATAGAGATAAACGAAAAAGAAAACCTTAGGCTGGGGCTCCAGAGATGCATTCGAGTCACTGCTGTGTGACCATCTTGTAGTTGTTAGTTTGTGCAAACCCCTGGCTCGACTCTCAAATGCCCTGAAGTGATTAATTTACAGCAAGTGTGTGCATGCCCTAGAAAGGGCCGGGGACAAGCGGGCATGATACCTGCATGTCAGCCCACAGTTGTCATCAACTGTGGACAAAGGGATTAAAGAATCCATATTGCCAAGACTCCCAGAATTGAAAACGACTATTTTCCAGAGAGTCCCAATCCAACCTGGTATTATTTCAACCTCCTTCTTTTCCTTTCTAGGTGGTTCGAGACATCCTGCTGATTGGACACAGACAGGCTTTTGCATGGGTTGATGAGTGGTATGGTAAGTCAGTTTCCCCGAAATAACTTGTAGAACAATTTCATGACATTCAGCTTGGGCTTTCAATCCCTCTGGCTTCAACTCTTACCTAAAAGGACAACAAAGGCAGGCTCCAGCTTCCTGTTTTGAAATACCATCCACCAAGCATAATAAAGATGTAATTATAGAAGCTTGGTCTAAAATAACCACAAAGATATTGACTAAGTAGGACCTTGGTATATTTGATGCTTACATAGTTGATATGCAGGGCTCTACCATTCTCTGCTGGATGGATTTCAAACCCATCCTAATTTATCCCAGACTTCAAGATCAAAGCTTTCTGAAGCATCATGTCAAGTAAAAGCAGTCCTTTGATTCAGAGAACACTTGAAACAATCCTTCATCAGATACATACAGGTTCTGTGAGAATTCAAGGACAGACAAAGGCATAGGTACCCGTTAATGCTAATTAAAACTATCGTTCTGACCTTTTTCGGGATATGGGAAGGTTGAACAGGTTCTGCACATTGCCAGCAAATCAAAACAAGGTTTGCCTCATCCCAATACTGGATGGACCACTCTCCCCAAATCCTCAGCACTCTCCTTTTGTCCACACAAATCCTCTGCATTCCCAGAATCAGTCATCAGATGGCTTCTGTCCCTGGCTATAAATAGAAATGCATACGCCCAATGGGTGACTTAGGTTAGATCTGACTCTCAGATCGATTGTCTAATGAAATGCCCTCCTCTTTGGCCTTTTCCTAAGTCACATTACATTTGTTCTGAGTGTAACCTAGATTGCGTTTTGGTCCTTTTCCATCATTGTTCCGCCAATTCCCTCCCTCTTCTTAGCAGAAGGCACACAATTTAAAGTAAGAGGATATGCAGGACAGAATGGGCAGACAGTGACGGTTATTAATGTTGCTAGCTGTTTCTGAGCCACATTTGAAAAGGCATGGTTCTGTCGGCTGAGGTCTTTTGCTTTGTTTTGTTTTAATCTTCCCAGATCTTGACCAATTGAAAAGTAAATGCGTCTGCCTGGGTTTGTTCAAACACAGAGCACCAGTTACTCTCTCCCCACACATCTCCAGGATGCTACTTTAGGCAGCAAGTTGTCATAAGTCTCCCATAGACCTGTCTGTTGGTGTTGTCTGTTTTGAGACAGGTAGACAGAGTCTCCTCTGATGGTTAAACAAACCTTTCTGGGTGTTCTTTTTCCTGGGAAGCTTTTCTCAGATGGAACCCAGACATCAACAAAGGTTAGGAGCTTCTGGCCTCTCCTGACTTGTACTTCTCAGAGCTCATGGTTTCCTTGTTACCAGCTCCAAGGGAATATCCAAAGGATATTCCAAGAATAATAGGCTTGAACCAATTGGCAAGAGGACAGGACCTGAAGGCCCCAAATCTGCCACTTTAAAGACCAAGAGACAGGGCACTTGGACCGGTTTCTCTCTAGCCCCAGAATGCCACTGAGGACTTTCCAGTAAGGGCAACATCAAAAAGAATAGCCGGCCTCTGATCAAGAGGACAAAGCAGGGCTAGGGGTGTAGCTCTGTGGTAGAGTGCTTATCTAGCATGCTCAAAGCCTTGGGTTCAGTCCTCACCGCTGCCCAGAAAAAGGGGGGCTAAACACTGCAAAGCTGTTAAAAAGGAAAGAGGGTTTGATTAAATACAGGATATTAGCAGGGAAAAAATCATGGGTGAGGGCTGGGATTGTGGCTCAGTGATACAGCACTTGCCTTACGTGTGGGCCCTGGATTCCATCATCAGCACCACATAAAAATAAATAAATAAAACAAAGGTATTGCATCCATCTACAATTAAAAAAAAATTTTTTTTTCTTTTAATTCATGAGTAGGGCCAGGTTGTGGCTCAGTGGTAGAGCACTTGGCTAGTATGTGTGAGGCACTGGGTTCAATCCTCAGCACCACATAAAAATAAATAAATGAAATAAAGTTAAATAAATAAATAAAGATAAAATAAAGGTATTGTGTCCATCTACAACTAAAAATAAAAAAAAAAAAATCATGAGTGGCTATCCAGTAAGCGAATGGCTAAGTACAGAGAATAGGGCTGATTCTTTCCTATCTCAGCTGCACCTATGGCAACTTAAAGGCATTTAGTTGAAAGAGAGAGAGGCTTGCCTAGCATGTGCAAGGACCTAATTTAAATCTCCAGCACTGCAAAATTGAGCAGGATGGAGAGTAAAAGGAAAAGAGAAAATTTTCAGATTTTTATAGAAGCCCAAAGCTAGAACACCAAACCAAGTGAAATGGGAGCTCTCCAGCCTGGAGACCTTCAGGAACGGAACACCTGCCTACCTGCTTAGGATGGGTTAGGTGAGGGAGGTTAACAGCTCAAGGAGTCTTATTACTCAAAAAGTCCTTTCTGTACCTGAGTGAAAAATAAAATAAAATAAAAAGAGTACAGGGCTGGGGTTGTGGCTCAGTGGCAATGTGCTTGCCTAGCATACGTGAGGCACTGGGTTTGATCATCAGCATCCCATACAAATAAATAAAATAAAGGTTCATCAACAACTAAAAAATATGTATTTAAAAATAGAGTACAGGGCTGGCGTTGTGGCTCAGTGGTGGAGCGCTTACCTTGCATGTGTGAGGCACTGGGTTCGATCCTCAGCACCACATAAAAAATAAATAAATAGATAGATAAACAAAATAAAGTTATTATGTCCAACTGCAACTAAAAATAAAAAATAAATAAATAAAAGAGTACAGACTTTAGTGGATATAGATGATCAAAGCACCTTGTTCTCCCCAGCGTGGGTCTCCACCCTCTATATCCACATCCCTGGCCCCAACCATAACAAGTAGCCTTTTCACTCAGTAAGGGGTCTGAGAGCCACACCATCAATTTCACACTAACTACCCGCAGGCACCAGCAGCCAACTGAGCTGCCAGCCGAGAGTACAGTGGCTCCTTCATTACCTGATGCAGACACTTGGGAAATCAAATGAATGGAAACAGCCCGTGCCCACAGAGTCTTCTCAGCCACTTATTCAGAGAAATGCTGAAGACTCTGGGCTTTTTAGGTAAATGTGTGTGTCTTTGTTACCAAGGCCAAGCGCATGCAGGATAACCCTGCAGTTCGGGGTACCTGAAGTTGCTTTTTCTTTCTCTGGTCTGGTCATTAGTAAACATGGAAAAGGCCTAAGGTAATGAATCCCTTGCCTATAGCTGTAATTCTTAGCACTGATACTCAAAGTTAGGTCCCTGAGCCTTCAATATCAGCATCCTCTGGATATTTATTAGAAACACATATTCTTAGACACTCTGCCCCCCGCCCACCAGGCTAAACCTGCCAATTCAGAATCTTTGATGGGGTGTAACTCAGCAATCTGTGATTTAACAAGCCTTCCAAACTATTGGTTTATAGCATGGGCTGTATGCCAGATTGGATTGAAAACAACAGTTTAGTTAGTTCAGTTCCAAATAGGTTAAACTGGAGAATTGTAGGTGTCTTCAGGGCCAACTGCGGGACTCTGATGTTTTGTGAGAATTAGAAAAAAAAGCACTCCTTTTAAACAGAAAAATTAGAAAAAGATGCTTCTTCTGGGCAGAGCCAGCAGGTGCCACGGGTTTGAGGCTGGATATCAGCCGCCTCCCCTCTGCTGCTGTGTGCCGGTGCAGTGCACACACCGTCCACCCTTACGCAGCAGAAGTCCTGGCTGTCTTTCTCTCTAATTAGACTCACCACCTCCAGTGCTTAATTAAGAACCAAGAAAAGAGACATTGTAGAAGATGGTGATCTTTTCTCACCCAAGGATTAATTTTACATCTTTTCTGCATTCCAGCATTTGGCTGTCACGAAACTATTTCCCTAAACAGATTTTATTCTGCCTGTGTTCATTGTGAAGTGTATCCCTTTCCATTTGGAGGAGTTGAGCTTGTCTTTCGAAGCGCTGATTGGTCTTTACCCATGAGCCTTGGGTCTCTCTGCATGACTAGAACACTAATCAGAGAGGCAACAACAACGCATTTCAGGAGACGGGGTGAGAGGAGAGGTGGATAAAAATAGCCAGCCCAGGTTCACAAGAGCATGTTTTTGCTTCACGAATCTGACAGTATTTTGAGAGAGGAACACTAAAGATTGCCAGAGGGAGCCTGTGACTGAGTGAAACCTAATGAATGTCTTTGAAAACCAAACTCTTCCCAAAAAGTATGAGGGGAGGAGAAGTTGGGGCTGATGTAGATGAAACAGTCCTCATGAAAGCGACTTAGCGATCGGCCTGGAGCCCCTGGAGCAGGCTGAATCATGGTGAAGCAGGCTCAAAGCAGAGACAAGCCTGCTAGAGGCTAGCTCAGCTGGTTGAATTCCCTAAGCCAGCATTTTCCAATGGCCCCAAGTCCCCTGAAATACAAACCTGAGCACCGTGGCTCTTGTGCAACGTTTTAGGTGTGTGTGCTCAGGCTCATTTTGCTAATGAGACAGCTCATAGCTTTCCAGAAGATTTTCAAAGGAATCGCTGAACCCTCTTCTCCACCCCTAATTACAGAAAAAAAATCACAACTTGATAGTTCTAGATCTCCATGGTCTGAATCACATGGAAAGGGCGTGCACCAAGCCTTTCAGTACCAACAAGTGGAGGCACCCTGAACTTTTTGTAACAAGCGTGTGTTGATTCCATGATCATTTTAAACGGTTAAACAGTGGCACTCCCCAGAGCATGGCCACCATTTTACTGGAGCTAAAGGAGTATCCAGTCTAATTCATGATTGCTAGATCCTCCCCAACACAACTACTTGTTCAAGATTTCATTTTTAACCTAGCATGAAGAAAAAATGACCTCTATTTTAGCTGAGGAGCCAGGAAGTAGAGAGAGATTATGTTTATAGAAAAAAGCAAAGGAAAATGTGCCATTGAACAGGTCATTGAATTCAAGTATGAGTCTTTCCTTTTTACAACTTTGGCTGCTACAACTGTTCAGTACAGTAGAGGAGAATTTGTGCTTGCAGACGCTTTGTTTCAGGGCATCTGTAATATCTCTCCATGTTTAAAGACTTAGA